AGTATCTTTGGAATTATATCCATTAAGAAGTTTCTTTGTTGTTCAGAAAAGTCTACCGAAGAAAACACTGCCAAATATTTAGCAAGAAAGAGATGGTGCAACAGGCCACCTACAGCTGTATTTAAGGAGGGTTGGATAACTGTTATAAATCATAGATTCTATGGAAGTCTGACTGGCTGCTACTCCCTTTCAGCTTACGTGCATAATAAAGACACTTTTAAACTCAAATATTTCCCAAATAGGAAATGAAATAGGAGTTGTTTTGTTATGAAGCCAACAGGAAGTATAATTTTAAAATCCAACATTAGTATTTAAAAGAAGAAAGTGGAAGATCTTACATGGCAAGGCAAAAGTAATTTATATCTAAATCATAATAACTGTGGGAAACTCCACCTTTGTCCTCCACCTACCACAGCAAGACTTTCCCATTGGGTTACAGAAATAGCAAACAGGTTTTGGCTACTTGGGAAAACTGGGCAAGTCATTTTTGGTTGTCTGGGAAAACTGGGCAAGTAACTTTCATCATAACTCTTATTATTCTTCATTTTTATACTTTGCTTTTTTGTCTGATACTGTGGTAATTATGGAACACCCCAAAGCTGTAAGCTACTTCCTTCCCTTTTGTTCCCCAATTAAGGGAATGTCATAAGGGATGTTTCTCCAGGAACCGATATGCAAGTACAGATTTATAGACTGGGAGAAGTTATTTTTCAGCTCCTACATTTCCCAAAAGAGCAAGAAAATGGCTCTTCTTCATTCAGGAAAGTCCTAGCCAAAAGTTAGCCTTAGAATCCTCAGCCTTAGAATTTAGCAAAGTGCCACCTACAGGTCAGCTTTAAAACTAGAAACCAGAACTATAATTATTAAAACTGAGTACTAAGAAAAGACAGGGCTTTGTGGTTTAGACATTAGGAAATCTTAATTTGAGATACAGACCAAGCAATCCTGTAACAGAGTGAGCTCTCAGAGCCTGTAAAGAGATACTGCTTGTGTATTTTCATAGAAGAAAAATAAATCATATTGTACACTAAAATGTATGCTATTTTAAGTAGGAATGTCAAAGGTACAATGTAATTTCTGCAAACTCTGATACCAACACATTGGTAATCTAGTATGAATTAATTTTGAGAACTGTTTTCTTTTTAAGAACAAATGCAAGATTTGTTTTTTAGAAAAATTGAAAATAACAACTGAACGACATAGCCGAAATAAAAGGTCCAAATAATAGTCAGAGTTTGGTTTTGGTAGCCTTTCTTATGACAGCAAACTTCCATCTACCCCTAATGTTTCTTCTATGCGGAAATCATAGAAATAAGGTATCATGGAAATTTTCTGGACAACTGTAATCTCCTTTGTCAGTAAGTTTGTTATATCCAGAACACAGGTGTTTGCCTCTTAATTGTCAATGTTGGCTGTCTTGCCTAAATCTCAGTGAAAAGCAGTTATAAACCTTCTTTGCAAATGGTTAAGCAATGGAATCTTCCTTTCATATTTAAACTAAAGTAGATCCTCTGGAATGTAAACAAAATACTCTATTTATTCTAAAAAGTTTCACAGGTACATGTTCTGAATTCATGGTTAAATAGTTATGATAGTTAATACAGATTAGATAGAAAACAGCACTAACAACTAAATCAAGATATAGATTATTCCTTCAGATTTCCAAATACATTGCAAGAACACAGCAAATTGGTTTTTAGGGCTATTTCTTCAAATAAGTGAAGAGTTACCATATTCTTTCATACTCTTCTCCTCAGGTCAGCAAGGGTAGGGAAGGAATAGACCTATCTGAGAATCAATAGACAGAAAAAGCATGCAGGGCAACAGAAAACCCCTGGTACCTTGAGACGAGCGGACTGATGAGCTTATTCTGCTCAACTTCCTCATCATACCACTGTTGTCTTTGTGAGGAACTTCTGAGGACAATAGCAACTCTCTTCTCTGCTGGACCGCTAAAGCAGCCATGCTGAGATCATTTTAACATGTACATGTAGAATTCCACTTTAGCTTTAGTCATCTTAAAAATGGCATGTAAGTGGACATAAGGGTTGGCATGCAAGTGGATATAAGGATTGACTGGAAGCCAATTTGCATCAAAAACAATTTGCTACTTCCTTAGGACAATGCAAAGTACCAAGGGAGAGATGGGGAAAAACAAAAGACCATCTGCTCTTTCCTTTATTTTACAGGAATTTGTATTAAGGGAGAGGTTGAAAGCCCCAATTGCTGGAAGCTTCCAAGCTCTAGTTAATAATATATGGACCTTCTAAATGTCCTAAGACAAATCTTAGGAGTTTTATAGCAAGAATCATGTTTGAACTTACCTGATTGTTTCTTTTTGCTTGTCTATGTATATAGACACATGCATGAAAACATCAAGGAGTGGTCAAAAGCTCTGATGAAATGCTGTGAAAACGGCAATGGTGACATCCCTGTATCTTGCTTGCATTGTACAGCAGAGACCATAGTTGTCTGATGCACGTTGCAAAATGTATCTAGGGTCTTACTAACCACTTTGCAACCATCTGAAAGACTGTAAAATTGTTTTAACTTCCACAAGTTCGAAAACATAGATTTTGATGGCATCAAGCACTCTAAGAGAAAGTCAAATCTTAAACATCTATGGTACTGAGGTTTAAAATCTACTGTAAAATCAATCCAAGATTAGCTGATCATAGTATTTCAATAATTTCTGTCATTTCCCCTATGAAAACATAGTGTTGTTTTACTGAATACAGTGAGAGACATTACTGTATCCATAATTAAGCAGTACTGCTATTACCTGTTCAGCTTTAAATTCAGCGAGACAATAATGTTGATTAATCACATTTTGATAAATGGTTGATGCTTTAATACAAATAGTAATAGAGCTGGGAAAACTGCTATATTTTTTTTCTTGAGTTTAGTAATTAATGACAATATTTATGTGTGCTGCAGAAAAAATACACAAACTGCAAATTTAGAGTCATTTGCTTACAAAAGCAGGTCTTCAGAAATCCTATAGAATTACTCCTTTTAATCACCAAAGCAATTGTTTCTTTGTATTTGCAATATTTTTGCAGAAAAGAACTCATAAAAAATTTCAAAAAAGAACATGACTAGATTTTGAGCTAAATGTATTTTTTCATGGTTGTTAGGTTTTTATGTTTGTAATCACTTTTCAAAAAGCACTTTTCACTTTTTCTATAAAAGTATAGAGATGATTAGGTAACACAATGAAGTAACAATAGAATGTCTCAAAATAAAGACACTTCGGCTACAGTTACTCATACATTTAAATAGATGTTTGCAAACAGTATAGAAGAGCATGAAAGCAGTATTTATCCCTGAGAAGACTTAAACTTCAAAATATTCAAAATATTCAAAATAGTCAAAATATTCTGGATCACAGCTGAAGTAAACAAATATTTGTGTACACAGAATACACAGCAAATTTGCATAGAATGCCTGGTTCTAATCAATAACTTAGCAACAATCTTTTAAACTATGCTATTTTGTTGATGAGTATATGATGATAAATGGAATCTGTAGTTTCTAGAAGTCAAGGTGTTTTACAAAATAAAACTGGAAAAGCAAGAACAGATGACTTTCTCTTTCCAGATGGAAAAAAAGTGTATGGGGCTAGTGAGTCAGAAGCTGTGCATTACAGTGTTGTGAGACTTCTTCATGATGCTGCGTGACCTATTAATTAATTCTGACAAAGTGCAACATGTTTATTCATTTCTAAGCAAAATAAGAAAAGGGATCTTACTGGTACCTCATCGATACAAAAAAGCATTCTACATTCTAGACAAATTCTACCGCGGCCACTACATCACTTCCTACCTTCTGCAAGTTACCTGTGCATTCATCTTTTCCACGCTGCTGGAGAGCATAAATTCAGTGAGTTGATACTCTGAACACACATTTCCCCAAAGCATTTTTGGTTCCTTTTTTGTAGTATTCAGAATATAGTGACTGAATAAATATGAGTGGCAGAGACTGTACCGGTCTGGCTGCAAACACAGGCTAGGTTTGCATTTTGTCATTTAAAAACAATGGGGGGGAAAAAAAAAGCTTGAAAAGTTTGGAGTGCAAATAATCTTTGGTTTACTCATTAAAACAAAAAGACACAGCAAACAGCAAAAACATTGGCAATTAAATAAACTGCTAAATCCTTATATGTTTTATAACAAAAGGTCTTCAGATGTTTGAAATGTATAAACTTCACACTTTTAAGCACATTACAGTGTCCAGAAAGTCACATTGTTTTCCTTGAAGGCAAGGCAGCAAAAAGAGGGAAAAAAAAAAGGGCCAGAGGTATGGGGGAAGGGAAAAAAAAGTGATTCAAGATGACATTTTTCCATTAGCTAAACAGCATGTAACCCTAATTTAACCCAAATAGCAAAATTAATTTCTTTGTTTTAGATTCATTATACACAATACAAACTGGCTTGGAATTTATTTTCAAATGCTTAAGCTTTCTGAATTCACATCATCACACACATCAGCCTGATGTATGAAATACACTGACTCACCCCTGTTCAAATCAATAAAGACTTATTAGAAAAATATCATAGTAAATTGCATAGACATGTCTTTTACCTTTCAATTTTATATGCAAAGTTTAAAATGATGTATCACAGATGCTTTCTAGGAAATACATTTTCCCAGTCAGGCTGTTTAATTGTAGATTTTAATTCCTGAAACAATCAAAGGAAACAGATATTTGTGTAAATCTGTAGGGATGACTTTGTACGCAGTCATATAGTTTTCATAACTGGCCTGTAGATGAACAAACCAGCTCAGACTTTATGGGAGAGCATCACTGATTTGAGCATTCAAAAACAGAATGGCCATACGGGCAGCACGGAAAGCTGTGATCTGTGCACAGAGCATAAAAGGCTATAAATGATTCATATACACATTTTACAAGTAAGTCAAAGAAATTATAAGTCTACCATCACCATGATAATCTGTTACCAACAATATCAAACTGATTGCTTAGAAGCATTTCTGTAACTGAAAGAATGAAGATATGGATTGTCTGGCAACACCTCATTTTGTTTTGTGTAGCTAGCTATCTTGCAAGTACTGTGCTGTGCTTGGACAGTCCTATTTTACTGTCTTTGTTCAGCTGTTTCCATAGGCAAGGCACAGGATAACAGTTCCACATGTAGTCTTTCTTCCAGGTGGATTGTGAATAGCAATATATAGCTGATGAAGAAGAACTGATTTTATAAAGATCTTTTTGAAATATTCATCCTAAAAAAAAAAAAAATTTGCTTGCTCCCTTATTCCTTCATAAATCAGCAATATTACATCTACAAATATTACATGGGCAGTCAACTTTAATCCAAGTAATTATATGTTCCCCTCGTCCAGCATTTTGTTGACACCATCGCAAAGTTTCTGCAAATGGAGTTTATAAGGTCCAAAGGGATTATACAAGGCAGCCAAAAACTCACAATCAGAGAAATGATCAAACACATTGTTGACGCGTCCATGTGATTTTGCAGTTAGGTGACGCTGAATGATTTGATGAAGTAGCTCTCTGCAATCATTTAACAGTTTGGACAAAAAATTCCTGTCAAAGGTATAATCCACTTGATGAAAACTGACCACGGTCTTAGCCAGCTGATGAACTTTCTTCTTGAATTTCTCCATCAAAGCTATTTCCTCCTGATTAAATTGGTTATTCCTGTAGAGAATTGCCAACTTGAGGACTATTTTAATTAGGTTTTTAATGATCTTCTCCGCTTCCTTTTTATTTTGTGTGTATTCCTTTGTCACTCTGTAGAGCTCATCCAAAACATCACTGCTGGTGTCATCTATCAAAGTAGTTGCTATTGATTTGGACACCATTTTTCCAAGGATCTTCTTCTGGGCCTGAATGGCCAGACTTTTGGAATTGAAGACATCTGTGGCCACTGGGGGAAAAAAAATGTATACAGTCAATACTTCATCATAGACATACCATAGAGAATAAGGTGAGAAAAATTTTCATGGTAGTCCATTCACCTGACTCCTAATAGTTTCCACAAAGAAAAAAAAAAAAAAGTAAGCTTACTGTATCTAGTTAAACCTACCTTTTGTAAGCTTAAAACTTTGTTGTCTCTGGGCTTTTATTCTTTTAAACTGTTCTAAGTTTGAGAGAATAACAACAATAGAAACCAGAAGATGCTCAAAAACAGATTAAAATAGATAGATAGGTAGGTAGGTAGGTAGGTAGATAGATAGATAGATAGATAGATAGATAGATAGATAGATAGATAGATAGATGGGACTTCTGTCTGAAGTCATAACTCTCCCCTAACTATTGGTGTGATTTTCATATTTATAATGAAATCTGAAACAAGCTAACTTAGCAAAATCCTTCTAATATTTTCCATGGGAATAGCTAGGTACTAAAAGTGGAGGAACCAAGCAACTATGACTTTCCCAAAGTCATGGCAATTGCCAGTGCTACTCAACCAGAAACTGTAATTCAGTGCATTGACTATTGCAAATCTTTTCCTTCTGAATATTCTACAGAATCAGTGAATTCAGATCCCACCCATACAGAGAAGGTGTGAGGCAGTCCTTCTTTAGCACACAACACCAAGATTCTCTCTGGTTGCATTCTGAACATGCTAGTTTCCACAGAAGAAATAGTTAGCATATAGAAATCATTTTTTTTGTCCTACGCTTAACGGAGAGGTAGCCAAAAATAGTATCGATTGGTATGGTAGCCAAATAGATTGCTATTACACTTGTTAGCATGACCTTATTGAAGAATTCTTTTCTGGTCATTAAAGTAAATTTTAAAGTTTCCACCTTCAAAGCTCTGCTAGTTTGCATCAAAATACCCGATAATTGGTTGCGGCCTTTGTGAAGTATTCAAATACTAAAAAAACCTCAAACATTCTTTCAGAAATTTGTTTTGGAAATTTTCACACGTCTTCTATGACCAGTGGCAACTGCTTACAGCACATTCCTGTAACCGCTTCTAGTAGGTCACGTGTGAACTCAAAACCTCCATTTGGACGGCCTGGGAAAAGGCTGTTTTTAGCGTGCAGCTTTCTCAGGGGTGCTGAAGGGAACCCTTAACCTGGTCATATTTATTTCACATATGAAAAGTTTTCTTTGCAGTCACAGAGGCTATGCATTTTTATTTTTCTCTTTTACTGAAAACAAACTCTGCAGATACAGATACTTATCTGCCATACAGATAAGTACCTCAATTTGGAAAACACTTCCTATTAGCTGTTTATATTTGGACAACATTAATTTATATTTGGAAACATTAATTCTTTGAGCACATTTTTAAAAATAGCACATAATTTTACATTTTTACTGTATGTGTATATTCAAAAACCAAGCAACCCTCTAACTATTTTAGGGATGCCACTCAAGATCACAAGACAGACACATCTCTAAACCACACCAATCTGCAAAGTAGTTAAAGAAGCTAAGTACATCATCTCAACTAAAGCAATTTGATACAGTATTTCAATTTTTTAAAAATAAACCCATATCTTTTATTATTCAAATAAAACTAATCAGAATACTTCAAAGTGTAATCAAACACTAGCTAGGTTAAGTTTTATAAATATCTACACAGAAACATCAGCGGTATGAGTTACCTGCTTATAATATAAAAAGAACTAGAACCACAAGACTTAAAAGAATGATACTTTAGATTTAAACAGAATTAGTACAGCCTGCCTCCAACAAGCCATATACACCTGAATTTGTGCTATTTCCAAAAAGCAATACACAAAACAGCAATGTTAAGCAATCCAAAATTTGACTGTTTTCCCAAAAATAAAATATGAGAGTTCTTCAATACTGAAATAACATGCCTGACATGATGTAAGATTCGACAAAGGGAGCTTGGCACATAACAGGGCAGAACAGGAGTTGCTCACTTACCAAAAGTATCAAACTCTTAATGATACTTCTAAAAACTGTTCAAGTTTTAAAACTATGCAGCATGGCCTATTTTGTCTTTAGCTAGTATATAACATGAGTCAATTTCATTTGCCCTATTGTGTTCCCATTTAATTGTAACATCCATGAATATCTTACTTCTGTTTGTTCAGCCAATCCCCAAAAAGGGATTTGCAAATTGTTTGTATGTTATAAACAGATTATTTTCTCATTACTGAAAACAAAAAGAGCTGCAATGTTATTTCACAGCTAACTGCTTCGATAAAACTGAGTCTAAGCATTGATCTTCTAGAACCCAACAGAAGTTTTCCTTAGAAAAACTAAAATTATTACTTACTTGCTCATCAAAAGAAATTGCAATTACCAACAGCAGAAACACGTTGAGGGAGTGATGCAGAGCGTCGTGCGCGAAGCCTGCAGCTTGGCTGTTCAGCTGAACCCAGCAGCTACCTTACCATTCACTCTGAAACACTGTCCGAACCTATCACAGGCTTAAGGTTTTTTGTTTTATTTTTTTCCCTCCCTTCACCACAGCACTGTTTCTCAACTACCTTTCTCTTCTGTTTGGAAGTACTTCATTTTGCTGTGGCACCTCTAAAAGCAAGAACACGCGGCAGTGGTTTCACTTCCTTGACAAGAGCTGAAAGGAAATTGCGCTGCTGAGCCAGCAGTGCAACCCCGGCAGCCGTTACTGCCGACCGACAACTGAAACAAGCGGCACAAACGGAGCGAGAGGAGAGGATCTGCAACCTGACAGGGGCTGCTTGCCACGAAGAGCTTAAAATATTATCCCTGTTTCTGCAAACACCGAGAAGACTCAACTATACCTGAAGTGTCTGATTAGCACATCATAAAGCAACGTAATGGGGCAGCTACCAGCTGACTGCTTCGCTAATCCCCAGTTCGGAATGAGGAGTCATGCGTCCCGTTTAAAAGTTCCAACTAAAATTTCAAAGCACCTGAAAATACGCATGCAAATCCACATACAAACAACTAATTTCAGCAGTCTCGTTTTTACAGGTGTTGCTCATACGCAGTCACCATTTGGAAGGTGGATCAATATATGCAGGTGATCAATATATGCAATACGTAGGTGATCAATATATGCAAATCTCTGAGGACACTAATCTCACTGACAGCTTCCATCCTGAAATAACACCTTTTCTCTCACTGGTGGCCTGCAGAAGGCTCAGAGCTTGGGCAACTAATCCAACTAATTTTAAAAATATCATAGATTTCTTTTTGCATGATTCCTCTTTATAGCATTTACTGTTTTTTCTACTCAGTTGTTTACGTTTCCCTCTTAAAAATCAGATGGCAGTATGTCCCTTGAAATCGATGGGATGTGATTTCCCGCACAGTCGATAGACACAAACACTGCCCGTGCCAGTGACACGACCATCTGCGGGGCAGGGCAGGGCGGTCTCAGGGAAAGGCTCTCAGGGAAGGATCCTCCCTCGCCCACCAGGGAACTGAAGGCACCTTGGTGATACCAGGGACCTCGGAAAAGTCTTATTATTATTTACAGTTTAGAAGGAATGTTACTACAGCCTGATTTCTGTGAAAGTCGGGAGCTTATTCATTGTCTTTTTTCTTTTTTTCTTTCCCAAAAGAGCAGGTGTCTAATACCAGTTTTGTACTTTATGCACTAAGGCAAACCAATACTGGATGTGCACTTGTCTCAGTACTTTTTCTCCAGAATATTTACCTTAGAAATGTTTTTCTTGACTCTTTACAAAGTAGAAACTCTCAATGAAAAAAATAAGAATTCAGCTCTCGTAAGGAAACCGGTATAAACGAGCAACAAGGCTGTTTCTTATGGCTGCGATGCTCATTCTGCCTAGCATGAAAACCTGGCATGAAAGTCAGTACACTTACCTACTTACTGTGGCAAATGCCTATTGCCAAATTTCCTGTTTCTCAACTACATTTAAATTAAAATGAATGTGTTTGGAAAAAAAAAATAATCACTGGTACGATCAATAGTTCATGCAGTCAGGCTTATGTATTCAGTCTAATGTGTATTGATAAAATATTGTCACTGAGTATTTTTAGGCTTGCAGTAACACACCTGAAGAAAAGCAGCCAGTAAAAACTTGAAGTGAATGAGGTTAAATCCTACAGACAACTCAAAAGTTAAGTTTTTGAAGCAGGTTTCGTTTCTGGTGTATATACTCATATGATAATTCCACATACCAGACTTGGTTGAAGGGTAAATTAGAAGGTGAAGACATTGATGACAACACTGCCATGCAAGGCTGAGCTCTCATTTTAATGACTGGCCAACCACATAATAATGGTCACCAGTACATGGAGAGAAAGCTTGTCTGGTAGAGAGCACAAGATCCAAAAAGGAACGGGATTTGGAAGTAAGGACATTAAGAACAGACAGATGATTAGGAGAAAAGATCCAGTACCAGCAGGGCACTTTATGCATGGTTTAAAAGACTGTATCATAGTTTTGAAAAATGCGGCAACTGCTCTCCGGCCTGGCTTCCTGTGTGGAGAAGCGTGTTTGCCTGTGTATAAACTGTGGGTTGAAGCTGAAGTTGCAAGTCTGCGCACAGGCTGAGACCTCATGCTCAGTCACACTCATGGAGTGCAAGGGAGGCAGCATCAACCCCGCCGGGACCCACAGCAGGCATCTATCAGTGTTTGTGACCAGGAGTGACGCCTTCCAAAACTGCGAGGCTGCCTGAAGAATCAGAGCATTAGAAAGTTACTGCGTTCTGATGCCTACTTGTGCTCTGTGCATTCTGCGTCTTTACAGGGCTGCATTTGTTAAGACTGAGTCTTTACAGGGCTGCATTTGTTAAGAAGGATAAAGGCTAGAAATAAAAAAAAAATACATGACTTCATGCATAAACACATGATCTCAGAAAGTCATGATAAACTGCAAAAACTAGCATCAGTGAAGGAACAATTCCCAAAGTAAGTAACAAGCAGAAATGGAGTCAAAAGCCTTTGGTACCAGAAGAGCTGTTAAAATTTTAACAGT